CACTTTGACTTCTTAAGACTCTACCTATCCCCCAAAAGAGGAAAGTGAAATTCTAGAACAGAAGAATTTATGATTAACAATTTAGAGAGGTGCTTGCTATCTCCACCTCTTGCACATGCATGGTGCTCATCAGGCTTGAGAAAGATTGAAATTTATTTAACCAATTAAAAAGAATCCAAAATTGACCAAGAAACAACTCTTTTCAGGGAACACTGATTAATATCATTAGAGAACTGAGGATTTTTGTGGAGACCTGGCAAGCTCTAGTTTAGAACACACAGTGGAAGGACTTTATAATGCATTTGTAAGTGATATAAGTTCTTCAAACATGGAAAAACTAGCCTTTTCAACATCAACCTTTGTCTCACCCTTGAAAAATATTTCTGTTTTATTTTCCTATGAAGTCTTTTTCTTCCTTCATCCTTATGGCAGCTGTAGTTGTAGGTGTTTTTGACTAGCTCCTGGATATTCTCATTGCCCTTTGTAAGCTATCTCGTTGACATATAACAAAGAAGTATGGGTTCCAGAGGTATAAATAGACATAAAAAGACAACTCATGTGCCCTTACTCAGGAGAAAACTGTGCATGGCTGTATGCAATAATTGGAAGGTTTCCTGGAAATCCTCACTGCCTAAATTCCCATTCCCCACCTGCCAGCCATGTGCCTGACGTGGATCTCATTTGTACCTCAAAAATTCCATTTGTGGGGGTAAACTGGGTGGCACAGTCAGTTAAGTGCCTGACTCTTGGTTTTAGCTCAAGTCATGATCTCAAAGTCATGGGATCGAGCCCTGAGTCATGCTCTGCACTCAGCCCAGAGTCTACTAAAATTTTCTCTTTCCCTCTCCCTCTGTCCCCCTCCCAACTCCCCATGTGCTCACATGTGCACTCTCTCTAAAATCTTGAAAAAATTCCTTTTGGAATCCATTAAATTAAAAGATACTAAGTGTTAGAAAGTGGCAGAGGGTCAGTAATGTATTCTCCAGACTGAGAAGGTACTGTAAAACCAAAAATGAAGCAAGCTTCTTCAAACCAGTCACAGTTTTATTCCTAGGGTAACTTACTGAGAGGCTGATGGACAGATGATCCAGGCTGAAATATGCTCTTATTCTCCACCCCTATTCTCAGCCTCTGTCTGGACCTTTCCCCTGCTCTTATGGAGTGAGGGACGTGGTGGGGAGGTCATGGGTAATTATCTTAAGTGGTACCATCTGTGCACTAGAGGGGGAGAACAAGGTAAAGTCCTCAAAATGGAGTCAGTGTTGTCAGCACTCCTACTCTCTCCACCCTTGACATCTTTATGGCCTAATCTTTGCACACCATTCTTTCACAGTGACCTTAGTACCAGACAGCAGGAGGTGACTTGTATCCTGGTGCCAGCAACAATATTGGAGCTTAACCAGTACTACTCCTTGATTTTTCAGGATTTCTCATTCTTGAGGGGGTAGGGGTGATGACCAGTCTAACTACTTCCTGCTGAAAAGGGGTGTAGATCAAGATTTGAGGAATGAAACTGCCTTGCATCCAACTGCAGAGATTCTGTTAGTACTAAGTTGAGCCCCCATCGTTTATGGAGCCATTATTTTGGAAGTCTTGCATATAGTCTTAGCATCTTTTTCTATTTTATAACAAGGGCAATTAGGTAAGTTCATTTGAAGAGCGGTTCTCGTTTCAGGAGGTGGTCCTGCTGGTGGGCTTTCAAAATCAGACCTATAGTGTGCAATCTGTCAGGTAGAAAATAAGCCATATATGCAAGGAAACCAAAAGAATGCAGGGTCCAGCCTAGTTTTAGAGGTAAACAATCAGCATTCAAAGATAATCAGAACTAGAATCTAACACCCATAAAGACAAATTACTGAAAGAATTTTTTTCTCTCTAAGATCATCCTCATTTTTTTTAAAGATTTTATTTATTTGAGAGAGAGGGAGAGAGCAGGAGAACACAAGCACTGGAGAGGGAGAAGCAGGCTGCCCATCCAGCAGGGACCCTGATGCAGGGCTGGACCCCAGGATTATGACTTGAGCCAACAGCAGCCACTTAACCTATTGAGCCACCCAGGTGCCCCTAAAATCACCTTCATTTCTATCAAAGGTAGCCAAATTCAGATTAACTTGTTTGCGGGGCACCTGGGTGGCTCAGATGGTTGGTTAAGCATCTAACTCTTGATTTTGATTCAGGTCATGCTCTCATGCTCTACGCTCAGTGTGGAGTCTGCTTGAGATTCTCTCTCCATTTCCCCTTTGCTTCTCCCTGCCCGCCTCCCCTTCAGCACCCCTTGCCGCCAAAAACAAGATTAAGCTATTTGTAAAACAAGTCCAATTTTAACAAGCTTGCCTTAATTATTATTTTTAAGCCCAATTATTTACATAAATGCAGTAAGAATAGCAGCTGGTCATTAGGTTCTTTTAAATCTGCTTTACTGGGACTTCTCAAAAGGAATTTCAGATTGAGCCTTTAACAGCCTTTGGAGACTGCAAGCCAAGCCAAATACCTCCCATCAGACTCACCTGCAATCCATTTAGTTTGGGTTACTTCCTCTCTTCTTCGAGTTCCCCCAAATACCTGTGGTTCCTGAGACTGACAGGAAATGATCTTCCTTAATCTCCTGGTAAGGCTCTGAGGAAGCCTGTAAGCAAGGGACCAGGCTGATTTTTTTCCAAGGGGCTTCCTTGGCTCCTTAAAACCAATCTTAGTTCCTTAAAGCTGTCTGGCCATATCAGAATCTATGCAGGTCTCTCTTAAATAGGACCTTCCAGTCACAGCCTTGATAATATAACCACCGTTTCAGTGATGTCCTGTTACAAGAACCATATTCTTACTGAACTTATATAAATAACTATAATTGATTTCCCATTTTGTTGTTGCCACAGCTTCAGCCAAACCCTTCTGGATGTGAACTTACATTCAACTCACATTTGGCATTAATATTTCTAAGGCCTTTTACTACCATTTTTGCCTTTATTTCTCCCCCAAAATTTAAGGTGTTTCTGTAGACAAGTGTGCATTCAGCCAGTGACTGTTAGAGCTAGTACAGTCTGTTGGTTAGTGCAAGATCAATAAATGATTAATTTCATATGGGGCCCTCTGGTTGGTCCTTCCTGCATGCAAGAGAGGGCAACACTGACCTAACTCCTGTCTCTAGGGGTAGGTGGTATCCACCCCTGAAATTCTGCCATTAGCAGAGGGTCCCTTGACAACACACCTGCCTTTTAGAGCCTTCAAGGAAGTAAACTGCTTTCCCTTAGGCAATGCCTTCTAGAGGCTTAGCAAGACCCAACTGAGTTGTCTATATTTTCTCTTGGGGTCCCAGACAATATTAGATCTTGCTACCATTGTTTACAAGATCTTGATAGGCTTCTTTCCCACCACTTCATCATTGAGGGGATCCTTTATTTTTCCCTATTTTTCAATCTATTTCCTTTTCAGTTTTGTGTAAGTTGGCTACTATAGTGGCTATCATAGCAGTGGGCTGTTTAGCCACAGGGACAAGAACAGATACTAAAGTCTGATACCCTGCCCTTGGGGCTGACTGTGAGATATGAACATTGATGTAAGAGAAAAGTAATTCTTCATTTGGGCCACCAAAATACTGGGTGTAAATGGTGTGTTTCATCCTCGGTTCTTCCACAGGGGTCCAGTGCAATGGAGGGGAGGGAGTGTCCTCCTTGTTAAGCCAGGTTTTAAGTGCCTGCAGGTCTCACCCATGCCTGCAGTATACAGTCTTGGTCACAAGGCAGGTTGAGCAGTGGCCTAGGCCATTTTTGACATCTTAGGAGTCCATTTACAATAATACCACCTCCTCCAGCATCCCACAGTCATAACACTCAAGCTGCCACCGCTTCTTGGCCCATTTGCTTCTCCACGATCTCAGGCATTTTAGGGCATCTCCATATTCACACACTGGCCTGAAGTGCTCAAAATACATGGCCAAGTCTCCCCACAGGGTCGTGGCTAGCCAGCCTGGGATTTCCCCTGCATGGACCATGGGCTTCCCCCGGCTTGGCCGTTTCACCCATGACTTGTTTCATTGTCGGTATCCTGCCCACTACTCCAAGCATTAGTAGGTGCAGGAGGGTCAGTAAAGTATCTTCCAAGACTAAGAGGGCACTTTAATACCGAAAAAGGAAGCAAGCCACTCCATTCTGCTTACACAGTTTTATTTAGGGTAACTTACTGATTGATGGTCAGTTGATAGGTCAGGACAGTAATATGTAGCCATTCTGTGCCACTCTCCAGCCCTTCATCCCTCAGGACATGGCGGTGCTGTCTCAGGGTAGGTATCTAAAGTGGCACCACTTGTGCACTACAGGTGAGAGCGAGATGGAGAGCCAAAGATGGAGTCAGTGTTGTTAGCACTCCAACACCAAGTACACCTGAAAAGATGTGGCAGTTAGTTCACACTCACTGGGAAACAGGACTGGTACACTGGCCACCTTTACTTCATTAATCTGCCACCCTGTTCACCCAACCTAGGCAGCTGTGTTCTGGCAGGAGCTTTTTAAAACTGAGCCTGGGGGCACCTGGGTGGCTGAGCGGTTGAGCATCTGCCTTCAGCCCAGGATGTGATCCTGGAGTCCCGGAATTGAGTCCCACATTGGGCTCCCTGCATGGAGCCTGCTTCTCCCTCTGCCTGTGTCTCTGCCTCTCTCTCTCTCTGTCTCGAATGAATGATGAATGAATGAATGAATGAATGAATGAATAAAACCTTAAAAAAATAAAACTGAGGAGTAAGCCCCACGTTTTTTAGTTTTCCTCCTGTTTCTGGGAATATACAGCTTCCATCAATTCTTCTTTCCTTTTTTTTTTAAATGCATTTCTTCTGTAAATCACTTAAATTTCATTTCTAAGTGATTTCAGTAAAGTATTATACTATCAGTATATCTATATACAGACAATTATACATATGGTATAACCAGTGGGATGTAAGAATCACAGACTATTTACCACGAAAAGAGATTTTGAATTAAGTCCTTATTGCTTATGTTCCCTTTGGAATTTAGCATCTCCAGACTCCAGCACTTGCTTAGCTGTTACGACTCCAGTGAACCGGTGTTTCTGGGAGAGCGGTATGGCTACGGCCTGGGCACTGGCGGCTACAGCTACATCACGGGAGGAGGAGGGTAACTATGACCATAGTTTTCTGCAGATACTTTCAACATTAACTTCTGTTTCCATGATGTAGGGCTGGGTCTGTGGTGGTTGGATCTGTCCTGATACCTAAGTGCTCTGTAAATGGCAGTTGTTTCTTTAACAGGAAAGTGAACAAACATTAAATTTACTAAATACAAAAAAAAAAAATCCATGGTAAAGACTATTTTACACCATGAAGAAATATAAATGGGTGTCAAGGTACTTGGTAGAAATGTCCCTATAGGAATGATTGCTTCTAGGTAGCCAATTAGTTTTGATTGTTTAAATGAAAAAGAAATTTGGATATAGATTTTATTGCCAGAAAATAAGCCATTAGATTTTCAAATCATCTAGTGCTAATAAATCACATTTAGGAAGAGTAGTATAGAAGTTTAGACTTAAGCAATTAAGTGATATTTGTATAGGATTTATAGGTTTTGAATAAAAGTGAAAAGTCAATGTTTTTAAATGAAGCATCTGCCTAATCTCTTGTGGGGAAAGATTTTAATTTGATTTATATGGGTAAATCAATTGAGCAATTAGTCTGTTATTTCTGTAGTCTTTGCTATAGGGGTATGTACAGAGAACCCTAACTTGGTATCAATTATAGTGATTTAAAGTCCATCAACAGGTATTTGTTGCATGCCCACTCTGTGCCAACGCAACATTCTTGGCCCTGGTGTATAAACCTCTGAAGGGTCGGGACTTGGTATTCTTACTTGGTAATCCCCTAGAGCATAATGGTTCCTGCTGCAGGACCTCAAGAATCACGTTCCAGATGTTCTGGTTTGGTCTAGCTAATTCAGGGGTTAATATAGCTTGGATGTGGCTCTTTCCTAGTGATAACTAAGCCTGGGCAGGAGTACTAATCTTTTTGAGCAGTGCCATGCCTCTACCTGAGCTCATTAGCAACAGGGATGGGTGTCCATGTAGGCCTTTGATAAGACTCCAAAGGGGAAGGCTATGGAGTACTGATCTCTTCATTTAAAAAAAAAAAAAAAGGCTCAAGCTATGTGCAGCCTTATGGTAATGCATTTTGTTTTCAGTGGGTAAGGGTCTGGTGTTGTTTTTGGATCAGGGCATGGTATCTGTTGAGTAAGAACTCCTTACCTTTGAAAAGGATCTTATTTGAATATGGGTTTATGTATTTTGTAGCACATGGGTGTTTGTATACTTTTAACACAGAAGTGACTTGTGTCAAGAAAACTATTTTGTTATCTTCCTTGCCTGTTGGATTTCAGTGTTATTTCTGAGACTGGCCTGTGATGCCTGAAGTGGCACTTGACCTCGCCTAGCCAGTATCGTCTCATCACTCCAGTTGGTTGCTCATTCACTCCACAAGCCTAGTGAGTGCAGGAATAGGGGATGCAAACAAAAGCCATGGGAGCTCCTTCCTTCTCTATGATCAGGCTAGGCCAGATCAGCAAATACCCTGCATGAGAGTCACTGATCCCTTTCCTAAGCCTGTGGTGGCTGAAGACAGCATCTTTAGCCTTTTATACGTTCAACTTCTTTCTACCTTGCCTACCAGGGACTTTCTACTGCCTCCAGTTTTCCCATCTTAAAACTCCTTCCTGCCACCACACCCTCCCTCTTCTCCCCCTCGGATCATCTTAAGAACTCATCTTTTCTGCTTCCCCAGCCCACACTTCCATCTGGCCCCCACACTTGGCCTTCCACCTAAACTATCCTGCTGGGGTCTCTGGCGGTGTCCATGGAGCCAAATCCAGTGGCTCAATTCCAGTTTTTCTCAGCAACCTTTGACAAAGGTGACTGCTTACTCCTTGAAATGCTCCTTTCTCTTGCTTTCCAGAACAGTGTCCTATCCTTGTGTATTCCTGCCATTCCCATTATTCCTTCTCAGTTCCCTTTTCCTATCCCTTAAATGACTGTGTTTTCCAGGCATCTTCTCCAGTGTCTCTTCTTTTCTTGATCTGTATTCTCCTTGGTGATCTTATCCACCCCTATGACTGTGCTGAAAGCCCCCAAACTTCTATCCCCAGACTACAACTCTTCTGACTTCTGGACTCCTACCTCCACCTACCAGAGGCCGTGTCCACTGGGGTGAGTCATAGAACATGAGACCTAGCACTGCCATCCTGACCTCATCTTCTGACTCTGACCCCTGATTTAGTGTTTTTCTGGTAGTCTCACCTCAGGGAAGACATGTTCCTGCCCCAGAGACCTGTGAGTCTGCTTTATGTTTCTCCTCTTTATCCCCCAGGACCTTGCAGTTAATCTAGTCACTTTTGTCTCCTAAATACCACTTCTGTCCCCACTTCTCCAGGTCTAGTCTGGGTCACACCACCTCTCCCACATGTGCTCCTGCCACAGTTCCTCATCTCCTCCACTGCTTGCTGTCAACCACACTGCAGCCACAGAAACCCTTCTACAACTACATCTGATCCTGTGGCCCTCTGGCCCAGAGGCCTTCACTCGCTTCCATTGCTTTTATTCTTCCCCAAGAATGTGAACTCTTTCCTACCTTTGGCATCTAAGATGGTCTTTCAGATTCCAACAGGAGTCATGCTGGTCTGGGAACAGGCCTCATTTTAATCACTGTCAGTTTGCCTGGTCCACAGCCTACTTAGATGCTGCTGAGGCCACTGCCATGGGGCCAATGTCTCTAGCTGGTCTCCTTCCTCCTGTCCTTTGCCCCACCTTGTCCTGAAAGTTGCCACTGCTTGCTGCCCACCTGAGAAGGATTCCTCTCTCTAGAAATTAGTTCTTCCGGATTTCATACCATCCATCTCTTCAATAATTCCATAGGTTAATGTGATTTTAATTTTATTTGGATTTTTTTTTTTTTTTTTTGGTATTACCATGGGAAATGAAAGTCTTTTGCATTCTTTTATAACCTCCTGTTACCTTTAGGATAAAGTCCAAATTCCTCATCTGGACTTACCAGGCCTCTCATGACCTTGGCAGATGCTGTTTTACTTTTCTAGCCTCGTTTGTGTGCACTGTCATCTTAAAGAGTTCCTGAACTTACTTCAGCTCCTCAGAGGCATTTCTTCTTTTCTCTTCCTCCAAGACTGGCATCTGCTGGTCTCTACATAGCACTGTGTCCCCTCCCCAACTTTCTGTCCTCCTCACCTGGCTCATCCTTCTCTTTTTTTGGACATAATATAGCTATCATTTATTCCTGGAAGCCGTTGGCCTAGTCTGGCTTCTCAAATCTGGGTTTGATGCCTTTCAAATGTACTTTCGTAGCATATTATGCAAACCATTATCATTTAATTGCCTATTTACCTTTCTATTTTCCACCTAAATTATGAGTTATTTGAAGGCAGCACCTGTGTCTCATTTCTCATTATATCCTCACTTCCTAGCATAGAGACTCATTTTTTACAAGATACAATGAATAAATGAATAAACAAATGCATGAACACAGACTTGATCTGTATATAATTAACGACCAGTATAATGTTTTGTTTTTAATAGCATTTTTACAAAGATGCAGAAACATTAATCATGAGATCATCTCATATCAACCTTTGAAAAAAGCTGCAGACATCATGTTAAATGATTTCTCAGTAGACTTATGATTTTTTTTTGTAAACAGCAAGCCAGGATCAATTAATGGCTTATAAAATCTATGAATGGATCATGACCATCATTTAAAAATGCTAACATATAAAATGGAATAGAATAAAATAGAAATATCATAGGGTATCACATGTAGCAAGGATATGTATTGTGAAATTTTGTTTCAGTTTTATACACACAGCACATATAAATGGTTGTAGTATGAAGTGTTTGTGTTCTCTCTCTGGTTCACAGTCAAGTTAAGTTTTTGTAAAGCCTTGCCTTGAACCATCTCTCTTAAGCCCCACTAAGCAGAGCTGAATTGGGAGTATAGACTCCATAGTGCTTTACATATAGGTACTCTGTATTGTTTGAAAAATGAGACCTTTGCATTATTTGAAGCCAGTTGTCTGGTGTTCACTTCTTTGCTTCCTCCTTGGATATTTGGGTGTCTGCAGATAGTTTATTCAATAACTGCTCTCCTTTTTGCAATACTTACCTCTGTCTGAGTAGGAAGCTGGCTCTGGATGTCATTATTATTCTCTCTGGCAGCCTCCTTGCAAGAGGCTGAAGGCAGTGTTCTCTAGAGAGAGCCCTGGCTTGCTCATCTTCTGGAAGACCAAGAGCAGTGGGCTTCTTTTCTTTTTTCTTTTCTTTTCTTTTCTTTTTTCTTTTCTTTTCTTTTCTTTTCTTTTCTTCTCTTTTCTCTTTTCTTTTTCTTCCTTCCTTCCTTCCTTTTCTTCCTTTTCTTCCTTTCCCTTTCCCTTTCCCTTTCCTTTAGTGGCCGTGTTTCTGATGCAGTTTATCTTCTGTATGTGCTCTTGATCCGCATGCATGGCCTTAGGCAAGCTCCAGTCTCCCGTTTCAGTCTTTCTTATGCTTAAAATTAGTGTGTTGTATATTAAAAGAAATAACTTAGAGCCTCTCAACATCTTTTTAATATTTAAAAGTTGGCATATGAACATACATACCATGATGTGTCTAGTAAAAAAACCATCTTCCATTTTGTGGGACAACTCTTCATTTTGAAATAACTCATCAGCATAGTTATAACCAGGTGTTATTAGAGGCTCTTGTGTATTTATTCTGTGTGCATAACTGATGTAAGACTGTTCTGTGTATGGAAAAACAGAAAAAAATTACTAATAAAGATTTTATGCTTCCATTTTATCTTCCTATATAGCTAACTTTTTAGAGAGTGGGCCAAAATAAAAGAGTGGGCTTTCCCTTTCTTTCTCATTCTATTAGATGGTGACAAAAGAAAAAAAAAGTAAACTCTTTTCATTTAAATTTAGTTCAAGATAAACAAGATTACAGCTCTGAAATACAAGTACAGCAGCCCTTGAACAGTTGGGTTTGAATTGGGTAGGTTGGCTTACATGCGTTTTTTTTTTTTTCCTGATAAATACAGTACTATAAATGTATTTTCTCTTCCTTATGATTTTCTTAATAACACTTTCTTTTCCATACTTCACTTTATTGGTAGGAATACAGTTTATAATACATGTAACATACAGTGTGTTAACTGAGTATGTTATCAGTAAGGCTAATAGTAGGCTATTGGTAGGTAACTTTTAGGGGAGTCAAAAGTTAGCATCAGATTTTTTTTTTTTTTTAGCATCAGATTTTAAACTGCACATGGGACTGGCCCTTCACACTGCATTGTTCAAGGTCAACTGCAATATACTTAGGAAATTCCCCTGTAGTACCAGATGGATGTGGCAAGGGCAGTGTCTGTCTCTTGTCCCCTTACACAGATCCTTTTCCTGGGGTCAGGTAGATGAGCCAGATTTTGACTCAGCACAAAGGTGCTATCCAGTTGCTGGGAGGCACTGAGACTCTGAGAGAAAGAGGATTTCTGGTGAGTTTTCAAATGTGCAGGTTTCCTTTTGGGACAGTTCATAAGAACTGTTTCTTCTTTTGGTACAGACCCATTCTCTTATATCAGCTTAAATAAAGAGCTTCTTTTTCCTCTTGTCTGGTCTTGTTTCATCCTGTCCTCTGGCATCTTAGCCAGGGCAGAGTAACTGCCATGTGTGTGGTTGTCCTGCCAGCACTTGCCCACTAATGTTAAACTACACTGACCTGAGCCCAGCTGAGTGTGGAACCAACATTTTGCATCAGGTATTGTACTCAAGGTCTTTGTCCTGTTTTCCTTCACACTAGACTGATTCATATAGAACTCCTCCGCCCCCCCCCCCCCTCAGGAAGAAGATCTTTATAAAGGCAGCTTAATTCTCACTTATTTGATGCATCAAATTCTAGTGAGTGCTTGCTGTATGCAAGGCCCTGCTTTGGCTCTGGGAACATGTGGATAAACTGTAGACAGTTTTGCCTTCAAGGAAGTCATGGCTTATTGGGGATGAATTTGTGAACCATATTAGTCCTTTTAGCCCTATTGGCTATTGGATTATTCATAATATGAGAAAATCCATTACTGCCATAGGGCCAGAATGGTCCTATATTTTAGGACCAATATGCCTTTTAAAAAGAGGATTTATTGCAGGTACTTGGTACAAAAAGTGTTGGAAAGGGCCTAAGGAATAAAACGGTGCAGGAGGCTCTACCTAGAGCTTGGTAATTCTAGAAAGCTACTACTGCCCCAAAGGCTGGAAGAGCAAAGCAAAGGCTGTATCCTGGAGCCCATTCATGTGGGTTGCTGTGGCTGCTCATGCTGTTAGGACACCACACTGCATTTGAGGCAGTCACAGGACTGGCTCTCCACTGCTACTGTGTTTCTGCCATTAACACTCTGCTGCCCACCATCTTCTGCCTCTGCCAGAGACCGCCAGAGCCAGAAGTAGATGACTTCGCCCAGTGTAGTGCCTCTCATTGTCAGATTGAAACCAGGTCTTAGCTGGCAAGGGAGTCTGAAAAATACTGTTTTAAAATTTCTAGCCTCTTGCAAATCTGAGGAGGGTACAGAAAGGCAGGACCGTGCATGAGTTCCACCAGAAAGTACCGAACATACCAGGTCAAGTATCATCATAGTACTGTTTGAGGTAGACCAGTCTCTCCTTTTCTCTGTCTCCTTTTTCTTTCTGAAAATCACCTAAGTAAGCTTCTGTAGACTAGAATCACTTGGACAATGCACAGTGGTTTCAGTTAGATTTGATGTCAATGTCAGTCATCACCTGTATGAGTGAGGTTTACCTGGGCCCATCTACGTGCTGGGATTGTTGGTGGATGTTGTTATTGATCTCACTAAGAGTGTGAAAACTAAAGAACTATTCTAATTTTCCATTGACATGTTAGGAAAAGAACATTGTATAGAACATTGTATAGTATTCATTTGTAAGAAATATTCAAAAAAATAAAATTACCTATTAGATAGCAAACACTTCTTCAAAGTAAATTTTCCTTTCACAGAAAGCACAGAACACTTCCCCAGAATAACTATTAACATCTTTACCAGGAATGTATCCTCTGAACTATATTTCCTTTTTTTTTCCGAACTATATTTCTTTATGTAGATTAAAGGTCTTGAGATGCTGCTTACTGTAACCCTTTGCTCTGCTCTGGCTTCCCATTAGAATGGTCTTCAGCAGAGAAGCAATCAGGAGACTTCTTGCCAGTAAATGTCGCTGCTACAGCAATGATGCTCCCGACGATATGGTCCTAGGCATGTGCTTTAGCGGGTTGGGAATCCCTGTGACACACAGTCCTCTCTTCCATCAGGTGAGAACAATGTTTTTATTCCTACCTCAGAGGGAGAGAGGGGGATTTTCTTTTCACTTTAAGGTCCTATTTCATTTCCTTCACATATTCTCTGGAAACAATCTTGAAAACAATGTGGAAATGTTCAAGGGGGGCATCCTTAACAGACCTCTTTGTCCAGAGGATTGATGCTGTACCATGCACAGCAGGAAGATGGAAGGCAGAAATCTCTAGAAAACAAAATGGGGTTTGACTGGTGTCCTTGAATACAGGGCCAAGGGAAAGCTGTTCTTTTTTCCCCCTTTATTTTTGAGTTAAAAAATTGATGGCATTTAAAAATTATTAAATGCTATCTGGAAATATACAGGAATGACCTAATATTTCTTGCTATATATATGCCACCACATGTATGTAATTCTGTACTGTCCGCAGTTTTTTTTTTTTTTTAAGATTTATTTATTTATTCAGAGAGAGAGAGAGGCAGAGACACAGGCAGAGGGAGAAGCAGGCTCCATGCAGGGAGCCTAACGTGGGACTTGATCCTGGGTCTCCAGGATCACACCCTGGGCTGAAGGTGGCGCTAAACCACTGCGCCACCGCCACTGGGGCTGCTCTTGTCCGCAGTTTTTACGCTGTCCATTGATTGCCTTTTTATTGGGCTTTCTCCCCGTTGGTTGTTATTAAGCTGAGTGGCTAAGCTCTTTTAAGCTTTAATTTAGTATCTCAATGAGCATATAATCTGGGGGTGGTTGTAGTCTAAGATGATGTGTACCAGAGATGGTTGGTACTAATAACTTCACCATACTGCACTTTGGAGAAGGGAATCCTCTGAACTATTTTTTGTAGTTTTTAAGAATCATGTCAGTGAATGTTCTGATGTCATAAGGATAAATAATGTCTTATTTATTAACCAGTAGCAAATGCTATCATGGCAATATAGAAAATTGAACATGACATAAATAGCACTCTAGGAAATAACTTGAACAATGCGAAGAAAGTATGTGCATTATCAAAAAAGGCAGGATCCATTTCTGCATCTCAACCACAAGGGAAAATGGAAACAGACCTTTCATAATAAGACCTCTATGAGAAACCTTCATTGGTACCAGTCAGGAGTACTTGTCCATCTTTTAGAACCTTGAGAGATCTTACCCGTTTTAAGCCTATGTGTTGTGTTACGGGATGACTTAGAGAAGCAAGTTATTTTCTCTTGCTCTCTCTCTTGCTCTATCTTATAGTGTTTCACTTCTAGAAAAGGAAGGGTAATTAAAACTATTGGTGTTTAAGGGGAATGATTGTTAATTAGGCAGTGTTAGATTTTTATAGTGGCCTTTTTCACTAAGGGAAGAATATGCTAGTAAAGAAAATGATAAAGAGGAAAGAAAAAAGGAAAATACTCTCTAAGTAAAAATCCTTTGAAGATAATTTAAAAATGAAAAAAGGTGTCATTTCCCAGACTTAAAAACTCTTGATTTCTCTATTTTGCATAATAAATTTTAAATCTTTCCAAAATCGTAAAATATTCTTAAAACTTATGCTCCCCAACAGATACCACTATACCTTCTAATTCTTAAGCCTCTTTTAGGGAGTTTGCTATGATTTCAAAATTATTTCCCATGTATAATGCTGAACAGTGATCCAAACAGTGTATTTGTTCATATTGAGAAACATATTTGAGGCAAAAAGATAAAAATCTAAGATTCCTGAAGAGTTAGAGATAGAGTGGGCCTTGGGAAACAATCTCAGATACAAAAAGTTGCCTGGGACACTTTCCTTATCTTTTTAGTCAGGGAAAGTTACTGTGAAATCATAGGCTTAGAAGGGGATTTAAGGAATGTGTAGTATGTCCTTTTATTAAAAACAAAGGATCTAGCGCATGTGATTTTCTGTTCTTCCAAAATTATGTGCCACCAATTCATTCATATGGCAGCATGCCATGGCTAGTGAATCCTCTGTGCAAAATTGTCAAAATACTTATTTCAGGAGAAGCATTTATTCCTGAAAAACTGCTATAGTTTCAGTAAGTCCAACAGAGTAGGAGGCTTTCGGAAGCCTTTCTGCCTGAAGCCCTCCCAGCCTCCACATCCCCATCCATCCCAGCTTGGAGAGAGGAACAACAATTTGGCCTGGCTGAGGAAAATGGCAGCTTTGCTGTCAGAGGGGTTGGACTTGATGTGGGTAGGGAGAGATAAAAACCTATAGATATGTCAGCTAAAATAGTCAAACTTGGTAGGAAACAATTAAGAAAAACCTGTACCTTTATGGGCCTGAGGTTGCAGTCTCAGATATGGTAAAGGGTATCTACACCAGAAATTTAATACATAGTACCCTGGAAATAAGAGAGAAATAGAAAGGCTATAAAGCTCTCCACAATTCTCTGACCTGGTGGGAAACCATGTGCATGCACATGGACCACTGGATGAGTCTAGCAGAAAGTAAAAGTAAAATCCAAGCCATGTTTGAGAACCCACCGAAGCTTTGAATGCACTTTCCAGCCCGGGTAGAAGCCTGATGGGCTTGAGCGTAACCTCTTCCTATATCATAAGTTGGCCACAAACTATTTAAGCACAGGGGTGACCTCTAGTAAGCTAAGCTACAAGATAAAAGTAAGAACTAAAAGTTGAGTGGAGATATCAGATATCATTGCAGTGAGAATGATCCCACAGTGTAAATCCAGGCAAGTTACTTTTTATAAGGAATTTTATTTTATTTTTTAAATTTATTTACGATAGTCACAGAGAGAGAGAGAGAGAGAGAGAGAGAGAGAGAGAGAGAGAGAGAGGCAGAGACATAGGCAGAGGGAGAAGCAGGCTCCATGCACCGGGAGCCCGATGTGGAACTCGATCCCGGGTCTCCAGGATCGCGCCCTGAGCCAAAGGCAGGCGCCAAACTGCTGCACCACCCAGGGATCCCTACCTTTTAAAATGTAGTAAAAATAGATTTGTTGTTAGAATACATTTTCAAAATAACCAACTTCCAACAAATTATCATGAGACAAAGCAGAGAGATATACTGAGGCAAAAATGTAGAAATAGAAATGGACTCTGAGTGGGACCAGATATTGGAGTTGATAGACAAAGGCTTCAAGAAGCTAATAAAATTAAAGTCCTAGAATCAAAGGGCAATATGAGGAGAATGACTCAACAAATGGTAAATCTTAATAAAAAATAGGAACTATGATTAAAAGCTAATGAATGGTTATGGAATAACATGGGAATGGTTGTAAAACCAAATAATTGAGACATTTTCTGGGAAGACATAATAGTGGATTTAAGATGGCAGAAGAAACAATGAATTTGAAGGCAGATCAATAGAAATTACCCAGTCCAGAGAATGGAGACAAAAATAACTAAAGAAAAATGAACAGAGCATTAAAATACTTTAAAGTATACCAACATACATTCGATGGGAGTTCTAAAAAGTGACTTGAGAGAGAATTGGATTGAACATTTTTTTCAAAGAAATAAGGTTGAACTTTCCCAAATTGATGAAAAACATTAATGTATAGCTCTAGAAGGCTCAACAAAGCTCAAGTAGGATAATCATGAAAAGAATCATACACTGACATGTTATAGTCAAACTGTTGAAAGATGGTGAAAAGTGAAAGTCTTAAAAACAACAGAAAACCTAATGAAAAGGGAAAGAAAAAATATAGTTACTGGCTAATTTCTCATTAAAAATAATAGAAACCCAAAGGCAGAAGTCCCAAAAGAAACCAATCAACTAATGATTCTATATCCAATAAAACTATCTTTCACAAATGAAAGTGGAATAAAGATATCTGCAAGTAAACGAAAAGTGAGATAAATCTTTACTAGTAAAACTTCCCTACACAAGAAAACTAAAGGAAATCCTTTGGGCTGAGAGGAAACAGCACATGGTAATTCGAATATATAGAATGAATGGAAGAATACTGGATAGGGTTAATATGGAGGGAAAATATAAAAGACTGTGTTTCTGTATACATATACATATATATGTACACACATATATATGTGCATATATATATAATTAAAAGAAGAAAAGTGTGTGTATAAGCACACATAAACATACATATTTTCTCTCTTAATTTCTTTAACAGACATAACATTGTTTAAAGCAATAATTATAACCCTATTGTTGGGTTTATAACAGATAAATGCAATATATATGATAATAGTGCAAAGGCAGGGGAAGGAAATGAAGCTATATTATAGCAGTTGATTTTATTGATTCAATTCAATTTTTTAAAGATTTTATTTATTTATTCATGAGAGACAAGGTGGGGGGGGGAGAGAGAGAGAGAGAGAGAGAGGCAGAGGGAGAAGCAGGCTTCCTGCAAGGAGCCCAATGTGGGACTCGAGCCCAGATCCCAGGATCACTCCCTGAGCCAAAGGCAGACGCTCAACTGCTGAGCCACCCAAGGCATCCCTGATTCAATTCAATATTAACCTAAGTTAAAGATGCATATTGTATCCTTGGAGCAATCTCTGAGAAAATGATTTTCAATATATAGCTTAAAATATCAATACAGGGATTTAAATATACACTAAAAGATTTTGTTTAACAAAAAAGTCAATAAAGGAGAAACAGAGGGACAAAACACATGAGACCTATAGAAAATAAATGGCAAAATGACTGATAAAAATATAGATATATCAATTATTACATTAAATATCAATGGACTAAACTCCTTTAGTCAAAGGCAGATATTGTCAGATTGTATAAAAAGCAAGATTTGACTATATGTTGTCTATAAGAGTCAAGTACACTTTAGATTCATAGACACAAATAGGTTGAATGTATAAGGATGGGAAACACAATATGTTACGCTATGTTAAACACAATAGACTTTAAGAAGAGGACTATTATTAGAGACATTTCATAACCAAATGTGAGTACATTAAGAAGATACAATAATTATAAATGTATATATATATATATATATATATACACACACACCTAACAGACCTTCAAATACATGAAACACAAATGGACAGAATTGAAATGAGAAATGGACAAATACTAACTACTTACCCGAC